GAAATGAGAAGAGAAGAATGAAAGAATGAAAAGATCGAAGTTAGCAAACGATAGGAAAAAGAATGCGACGGCATCGAATTGTTTAGATAATAGCGTAAATGCAGCGTAAAGCATTTGCGGAAGGAACCATTCCAACAATTCTACCGATTATCGTTCCTTACCAAACATTATCTGTCAAAGTGACCTTCTAAATTGTCACACTTTTTAGTTTTAATTAATGACATTTAGCATTTAATTACAGAAATTCGTTTTAAAAGATTAATTTAAAGTTACTAATTTTTAATAAAATATTCAGAAAAATTATAGAAGAAAAAATATATTTTTTTGCATAGAATTGAACATATTTTACATTAGCCACTTGTTGTGTAGCAAATTAATTGATTAATTGATTTGTTAGCAATTATATTAAATTATAATTTCTGTTTGAGTACAACATAATCTATCAAATTTACATAAAGCATATATCATAAAAGTAACCACTCTTCAAATGCTACTTTGAGATTGCCGAAAGAAATTGTGTATTGAATATCGGAGCAAACAAAGAAGAAAATAATAGCATAATGGGAATGTTCCTGCCAGACAGATATTTATCTCCAGTGAACTTTCACCCCTTCATAAAGTAACATATCGTCATCAGCTACAAAGAATGGCTTGACGAAAGATTCCTTTATCGATTTAAAAATAAACCTTACAAAATTTTACAATGATTATTTCATACAATCTGTATTATTTTCATAACTCTTATTTAGCACTTCCGTTTTTATTGTTGCAAAAAACTGCAGGAACTTTGACTGATTGGATAATAATATTTATTGATGAAAAGAAATTAGCTATTTAACTTCATTTTAGAATTAAATAAAGTGTTGCCTTTTAAAGACTTTTATCCTACTGTAATCGACGATACTTCTTAAAAAAATCCCAATTTTGTAATATAATATCGCTATTCTTTAATAAAAATGCTTACTTTGCAGATCAGAAAATTTAAATATACGTCTCAAGAAAGAGAAAAATAAATGTTATCAAACTGATTCAAATCAATGTTCCGAATTGATGAAGGTTTAATGAAATGATTTCACGACCGATAATTCATCTATTCCGTTCTATGGGAAATTATCAGAAACAGAAAATAATGCGAAAGCGTTTCCATTTGTTATTCTGCAAAATTCATGAAATGCATTAAAATATATATATTATAATCAGTGGAACAGATTTCATTGGTTTCTCCGACAAAAATGAATGGATTTAGAAGTGTAGAATGAATTATCTCGGGCATTTTTTTTTGAATTTGCATCGAAAGTTTGGAATATTTCACTGAGATGACGATCGCGAGATGGCAGGAAGACTTGCACGTTACAATATGTTGGCTGGCAGTATTTTTAAAAAGGCAGCAAACACACATTGTAAGAGATTTTGTTGAGACTGGTTTCTAAAATTTTCTCGTAATTTATGAAAAAGGAATGTAAAAACAATATTGCGAAGTGAATTTGTTTGCGTAAGTTAGTATGGAAAATTAAGCTCAAAATAATAAGCAAAATTAAACAAATCAAAATGTTAGAAAGGAAACTGATGGATACGTATTTTTTTATTCATACAATTCAATTTTCTTCTCGCAGTTTCAGTTTTCCACTTTTTCCTGCTTTTGTTTTTCTGTATTTCACAAATCGATAAAAGATAGTGTGCTGTTATTTTAATATAATTTAATGATTTGATCCAATTGTAAGAAATTGTCTTGTCTTGAGTTTTTTATTTGCAATGATGTGTAGTCGTTGGATCTGTCTGAAATTTTAATATTCTCGTTTAAAATGCAAGTTTATATAAGTTTCAATCAAATTGTTAAATTACAGCTAAATAAATTAAATGTATATTTCCAAACAAGCCAGCTTGCATGAGTGAATGATTCTAACCACCAACAGCATTTAAAAAAGTTTAATATTGGCAATTTATATTGTAAACTTTTAAGCCTTATCAAGCTTTTATATGAAAGTGATTCAATTAGCATGCCGATGATAATATTCAATACTTTTAAATGGTAGCCAGAAAAATTTTCACGATAATCATAAAAGTGAAAAGTAATGTTAAAAAATAAACGTTTTTAAGCAATTTTTCAATTATTATTCACTGGTTATTCATGGTAATTAATAGGAATATAAAAAATTACAGATATCTATTTTATGCAGTTTTTAGTGATGATTGTGCAAGTCCAATTACTTTTCAATTCAAAAAATTTGTTACACAATCAGTTTTGGTGGTTGCAGAAATTCAGAATTTATCATTTTCTGCTTTACCCAAAGAAAAAAAAATGCTCAAAAACATTATCTTACAATGAACCGGCTTACTGTAATTTGCTGATACGATAACTTCAAATTTTCATTTCACAGATAATTCAGCAAAGTTGTTTAAATGAGTATTTGAGCAAAGACGCATGAAGCTTTCTATAACAATCAAATCCAGTTTTACCGAAAATTTCATACGTTCACAATTTCTTCCAAATTACCATACCCGATGCTATTCTACGAATTTCAAAGTTGCTTGGAAAACAAAATATTAAAAAGAAAACGAATTCCAAAATCAATAGAGAGAAATTATTCTCATCTTTTTTTATTGTTTCTGATACAAAATATAATCATCTCTGCTACATTGTTTTTTATCCAACGTAGATTACAGCGATATTTTGACAGCTGATGAACGATACATCAAATTTATCAATCTTTATAACTTGTTACACAATACTGGAAATTTTTCAAACTAATTACTTAAAAAATGAATCGTGTTTAACTTCAATTATTAAACTGCTACTAGGTTTGTTATAAAACTAAAAAAGATTGATAAATTTAATATTTTCATAAATCAACAGCAATCTACTACCAAGTAAATATTGAACGGTGTTCATTTTCTCGCCATCAAAAATTGGTGGGATATTTATTGGTTATAAACTAAATTTAGCCTAAATATACCAATAAGTATACAACTACTAGTCTTATTAGACTAGACGTTATCAGTTCAATTAACCGTTATTTGATGTTGCATTGGGATAATATTTCCACAAATTTCGTTGCTTTTAACTGTTGGTTTTGGCATGAAGCCAGCAATTCCTTTCAACTATCCTTTTTCCACTGCGGTATTACTGAAAAATTTATTTCCCAAAGAAAATGTCTGCAGGGAATTGCTTAGAGATGCAATCTGCATGCAAATGTGCAAAGCGTGCTAGTTACTACACTTGCACGAATTGTGCATTCACCAACGTGTCTGCAGTCATTCATTTGTATTATTATTAGACATAAAGCTAGAGGAAAGAGGGGTGTAACCAGTCGGGCGTTTTTATCCACTGGTCTATTTGCTCATCTGCTAAATGGTCTATGTCCATCAATTGCTCCTCAATTCTTCTACTCATTTAAATATTTTAGCATCAGAAATTAACCATAAGAAAGATGATTTCTCGCCCTCTCTTTCTCCCTCTCTATCTCTCTTCTGTAAGAGAAACAAAGAAGGAGAGAGAGAGAGAGAGAGGAACAAACCATCTTTCTATGGTTGAGGTGTTAAAAGCTTTTACTCATAAACTGACAATTAATTAATTATGTTTGTTAATTTTACTGCCTTCATTTGTCATAATCGTAATTATTTTTACAGTAATAAGAAGAAATAGAAAGAGAGAGGGAGAGAGAGGGAGAGAGAGGGAGGGAGAGGGAGGGAGAGACAGAGAGGAATCAATCAGTATCAAATTGTGATGTCATGCTAAAAAAGACCAATCCCTTTTGTCCCATTTCTTGCGCTCATATGTCATCAACTCATTGCGCTCACTACTAATGATAGTAGGATAGCGCTCTCTTTGTGCATTTCGCTTTTTTTCTTTTCTTTTGCAGTAATATTTCTTAATATATTAATTTCCACCCAACTTTGCACACTTTGAAATATCATTCCATTGATTAGAAAAAAAAATTGTTTGCAAATAATCCAACTTTTTATCATCTCTCCTATTCTATTTCATTTCTTTTTTAATCTCTTTCCACGTTTATTTATCCATTTCTCTCTTATTTATCTATTCCAGTTCATTCAATAATCATTGTTTTCTCTCTTCTCTCTTCTTTTCCCTATTCTGTTGTTTCTTTTCCATTCTATTTCATGTTATATCGTATCCCATATGAGATTAATGGAAGATTCGTTAAGCTAACTTCATGACATAATTATAAGTTTCAATAACTTCAGGTGGATGATGATGATTATCGATGACATTGATTTGAATGCAGTAAACCGATTACTGATTTTAAAGATATCCAATGCATACTGCAATCGTCCTTTGATAATTCTTATTGGATCCTTTTCTCTTCTTATTTATTCTTTCATTAATTAATTAATTTCATAGTTGACAAAGCAAGTTCAGTTAAAACGGCTGCTATATCTAATACCATTCTATTTGCAAAATTTAGCAAAGATCTTACTAATCGCTTAACGAACTCGTATCATAAAAGTTAGCGATAAATTGAAAGAATGTCAAATTCCAATGATTTTCAAATACCTTTACGCAATGAAAAATTAGCAGTTGCAGAAAAAATCAAAATTTTTAATCGGATAATAAATTTATTTTTCGCACATTTAAACAAAAAAAAAAAGAAAAGACAAATGATTTCTTTTTAGTGAACGATATTGTGCATAAAAGAAAAGATTAGAAGCTAAGAAGAGTTTCGAGCATTCATAATTATTATCGAGCCAATCCTAATCAGATCAGTCTTAATTAGCATACATTTCATCATCGCTGTAAATTTTGATGACATTTCATTATCGCACATTCATTTCTCATAAATTTCAGTTACAGCTAATACTGGAAATAGCAGAAGAATATTTAAAAAATATCATGTTAAAATAAATTTCAATTTCAAAGTTTATATAATTGACCAAATTCAATATGAGTGTCTCCAGTAGGATAGCATATATTAAGAATTTTTGCCAGGCCTTTCTGTTTCATCTACAACAATTCAAAGAGAGTTGTCACTCAACCATTCATTTCAAATATTGAACTTCGTTAGTTTGACATATACTGCAAGCAGTACTGCACTTCTCATCAGCTGCATGCAGTGAACATGAAGAACAACTGTTCCAAGTGCTATTTCCAGGCAGTTTATACAAAGCGGCGGCCTATCACCATTACCACTACTACTATTACTACTACTACTGCTATTGCTATTGCTACTACTACTACTACTACTACTACTACTACTACTACTACTACTACTACTACTACTACTACTACTACTGCTACTGCTACTGCTATTACTACTACTACCACTTCAATATTACTATCGCTGCAATTATAACTGCACTGCATGCCAACATGCGATCGTTCATTGCCTTACAACGCTGCGCCATCTTCGTCTACACTGTTCAATACATCTGCCAATCTTCTCGTCGATACATTTGTACACACATATAAATGTATATTTATAACCAATTCTAACACACATAGACACACACATATACACACACACACACACATACACACACACATACACACACATACACATACACAAATACACATACCCGGAGATGGAGGCAGACAGCGCGGTTGATGATAGGGTGAGAGGAGTGAGCACTCGTTGCAGTGCGACGCATCCATCGACGATCTGAAGAGTGACGACGACAATATCGCTGGGGACTTTTTCTTATTATATTTAGGAATATATAATTGAAAGAAAGATGGAAGAACGTGTGACTGCACTGTTTGCATGCATGTTTTTGCAATTTATAGCATGCTATCATAAAGTGAAGTTTGCATTGGATGAAAGATCACTGCAAGGTTATTTAATTATTAATTTGATTGAAAAGTAAATGGAAGGAAAGGAATTTAACTAATCGAATAGATCAATGATAATTCTCATTGATCCATTATCATTTGTTCAATTTTAACTAAAATACTAATAATTTGTATTTTGTGTGTTTGAATATGATAACGAAATATTATGTAAATTTTTAGAATGAAATTTTGTTAAAGCCTGAAATGAAAGTGAAATGTGAAAATTGAACGCTCTCTTCAACGATGATCGATTTTCCTATTACATATTTTGTTTTCTTTTTTTTTGCTTTTTTCATACTTTTTTTCAATCGTTCTCTTAAAATATTTTTGTTTGGAAATTTTTTTTCAAATATTCTCAAAATGATACTTAATAGTTGACTTAATTCATAGCGTTAAAATTAATGCAGCATTTTGTAACTTTGAATTAAATTTCAAGAAATGATATCATTTGCAAATCGATTTGATTACTTTTTTTTCGTTTTCTCTTCTCATAGACGCAATAAAACACACATGTTTTTTTCTTTTTTTTTTAATATTTATTTGTAATCAATTTGTGTGCAAGAATTTATTGACTTATTTACGTACACGTTTTGACGTTTCATACCAGCCTCAGTTAGCCAATTCATTTGCATCTTTTTTTAAAATTATATAATATATATACATACATGAAGGAAACAAAAATTGGATATTATCGAATTATGTTATATCACTAAGTAGAATGAAATTTAAGCTAAATATTTTCGTGCAAGTGGCACAGTATCAGTAAATTTGAAGAAGCAACTTCCATATCGAATATAAAATTAAATTCAATATTGAAGTATAAAAATATGTTCCACATCGAGTATAAAAATAACTTCCACACCAAGCATAAAAGTAAATTCCGCATCGAATATAAAATTTCGATATCAAGCATAAAATGAAGTTCCACACCGAGTATAAAAGTGTAACTTCAATATCGAATTGCTATCAGGAGAAACACATACTTTATTTAATAATCACATAATATTTAATAGTAGGAGATGAGCGCATATGGCAATTAATGAGCATATAGTTAAATAACCAACGGATTATTCCACTAATAAATGTAGCCATTACAGCATACAAATGCTCTATAACATTTTAAAATGTGAAAGAAAAAGAGGGAAAAAAAGTGGAAGCAATTTCTGTGATCTTTCTAAAATGGCTGGCGCCGAGATGTTTTTGACAAATAAAAATAACGTTGAATAAGAATAAATGATTGCTGCTGCTATATTCATCACCATTTATTTGATATTTTATTGTATTAAATTATTTTTCTTCGATTATTTTTGTTAGTGCAGGAAAAAAATGATTTCTTTTTTTGATAAAATTCATGTGATCAAAATTTGTACAAAAATAATTTAATATTTAAGAAAATTAATACCAGAAGACTTTTTTAATAATTGATATAGCATGTAAATTTCATTTATTTATTTACTGTTTGTGACATTACAACTACACAACACGTACGTCAATCATATCATATTTGTAAGCTTTGCACCGAGCAACTATTAAAATGTAAGATGGCATTTGTTACGCAAAACTTTGTACACGCCCGGATTTCATGATCGATCAAGCAATCAATCAATATCTATCAAGAAGACTTGTTTTAATTTAAATTTCAACAAGATAACAGTTAAAAGAAATTTACGATGCATGATTACTCATTTGGGAAAACTTCCATATAAAAAGCTTTTGAAGAAATGATTGTTTATTTTAAAAAAAGAAAAAGAAGAAAAACTGATTGCAAGAAACATACTTAAATCCTCCTACTGTTTGATCTTACTTTAAGATTTGAAGTTTAATTTTAAAATATATTTGTTTAAAATTACATGTAAAACATTCGCTATTAGTAAGTGGTCATCGTATGAACGATTATTGGATGAAAAAGGAATGCTTATAAAATAAGGTGCTAAATAAGGAATTTCGAAAATGATGATACTTGAAGATATACGTTTCGTTGGCTTATTAAGCAAAAATACTGTATGTGGGCGAACAGTACTACATAAACAGTTGTGAAAATTTCTACATTATTCTCATACAAATCACAGCGGACATGCCGCTGAAATAAGTTAAAACTGTTGAGGGGCAATGCTCAAATGGGAACATTTTTGAGCCAAATTGAAAATCATCATAATCAAAGTGTACAGTATCTGTCAAATAAAACTGCACTGTCTTCTGTTTTCAATATTCCTTGGTAAGTCACTTAGCTATCTTAGTAAGAATTTTGATCATTGCAATTTCTAACACAGTATATGGAAGCAATTTAATATTGTGACATTACTTTGCGAATTCAATGTTATCTCTAAAGCACAATTGTATTTCTATATAACATTCCTTCCTCTCTTTCTCGCGAAAACGTGAATGCTAGGAATCATTACGTCTTCAAACGTAACAGCAAGCAAGATAACTCTGATTTTCAGCTTAGAAAGAAGAAATAGCAAAACCATTTTGCATTATATCAAATTTCTTATTCAACTTTTTTGCTATCCATTACCATCATACTTTCCATTTTCGAGCAAAAAAAGATGAAAGACAAACTTAATTTTATAAAATAGAGGCAGAAAAAAATTGGTAAAAAAAAGATATATCAAAATGAAAAGATAACTTTTTGAAATTTAAAAAACAAAAATATAAGACTAATAAATGTGTTGTAATTTTGATTCTTGAAATAAATAAATAGTTGATTTCATTTAAATGGCTTATGGCTTTTTTTTTCAATGTCAATGATGTGAAATTGTTTTGGAATACATTGATAGTTTTCCAATTTTTTTTTTGAACAAAAAAATCTTTAAAGAAATGACGAAATTATTTAAATATCAATTTGTCATTTACTGGCTAAGCTTTTTGTTTCCCCTCAATACTGTGAAAAATGCGCAGTTGTGCTATATCATTGTAAGTAAATAGCTGCCGCCCATTAATTCATCCATCAGTAAAATGAGTGTGACACATCACTCCAACGAAGACACTCTTTCCATTTGAATATTTCATTACGTGAAAGTTAATTTCTTGCAACTCTTTAATTAAACAAAATAGTTTCTACCATACATGAAAGTTAATTTGTTTTCAATTAATTATTTATCCAAGAAATTATTCCAATGAATGTGTGCTCGTAATAATGATCAAATTTTTTCTTTTTAAATTACCAAAAAAAAAAAAATAATGTTGCATTTTTTTGTGCAAAGATTTTCAGATGTTGAATTTAACAACTTTTTCCATTTTTTCTTATCAGAAAGTTTGTTAAAAATTAAGTTGAACTGAAAGGCGACAGAATGGTTAAATAATTTTCTATGCTTTCTTCCGCTATTATATTTCAACGAGATTACAGAATATTGATAATTAACAAATTATATGATTTAATCTAATTCTATTCTATCTTATAAAATTTGATTTGATTTGGTCTGATCTGATCTGAAAATAAATTAACGGATAATTTCTATATGTAAATGTGTAATATAGCTCAACGTGCTCTAAAATTATGATGACGAATGCTTTCTCCATAAAAATACACAGACAAAAACAAAAATAGACAGACGAACGGGCACGCACGGACATACACACACAGGCATATATACACACATACACACATTCGGAGGGTCTTCCCGCTTTATCCTTTAAGTGTGACGTAAAATTTTGTCACAGTACATAGAATTTTTTTTTTTTGGAAGTGAGCACTAATAATTTTTAGTAAAGAATAATCAAATCTCAATATTTTATGGGAACACTTGGTAAATGAGGGACTGATTCATCAAAGATTTTGAGATTCTTTTATTAGAATTTAATTATTCAAAAAAAAAAATGATTTCAATACGGAACGACTTGAAAGAATTTTAGAATTTCAATCAGGAAAAAATATATAAATTAAAACAAGATACTATAATAAGCAGTTCTGCAACTTTTAATTCAATTCAATTCAACATATACATTGCAAAAAATCATTTGAATAAATTATTCTTAAAGTGCAAATTTTGAATACCTTATGAAAATTTTCACTATGTTCATATTGTTTTTAGTTTTAAAGAGTTTGAATTTCCATCTTTAATACACATATTTGTTTAACTGTTGAAACAAATTTTGGAAAGTTCTAATATTTGTGTAATTTAGAGGTGAATTAATTGTCAATGCAATTTTAATGATGACAATATGGATACTGTATTAATATAATTAATTTCTCTTTTAATTCGTAATTAACTTTTTTCAGGTAATTTTTTGAAAAAACATGTGTGGAATAAAATCAAATGATTTACACACAATCATAAATAACCAAATTAATGATAATTTCGTTACAAAAAATATCATTAATCAGAATAAAATTATTCGTTCATATTTGGCGCGTATAAATTTTATTTGAGTGAATTCAAAGTGAACACATTAGTATTACTTTATCGTTTTCCTTTCATGCTATATTCTATTAAACTTTTGTTTGTCCAACTATTTTTCTATCATGGATACCTATATATCAGTGATAAACATTGATAACATGGTAAAATTTGAAACAGATAATAAAAATTTAAGAGAAATGAAAGATTAATTTCAATTGAAACGGCAATAAAATGAAACTTTTACATGCAGGAATATTATTTTAAATTGATTTAATCTAAATTGATTTAATCATTGAATTTGAACTGATTTAGTCATTCCACTCAACAAAGTAAATTTCAACACATTTAATAAACATAATTAAATATTCGCTTTTATCTGTTAGTTTTGAGCAAAATGAAAATGGAAGGAAATATTGGGAAGATAAAAACACTGATTTATCTAATCAGAATTGTTGATTGAAGATGAATTTGAAGTATCATTGCTTATCGTTTAAGGAGAAAGATATAGGATTTTTTTAAGAATTTTATTTATACTTTGTTTAAATTTCATTTTAAGATATTTAAAGAAAAAATTTCTACGATTTATGTTAATTATGTGGATGTGATCTTTCATCGATTCTTTAGAAGGTATGTTCAAATCGAATCATACAATTTGACCTCGGCAATGAGCGGTGTAATTTTCTTCATCATATATGTTTGCTGTCAAATTTCAAATAACTGTTCACTGTAAATTTGGCTTAATTAATTGCAAAGCTTCAGAAGTTTCACTAATAAAATTTTTCCAGTTATTATGCATAAGTATTCTTTGATTGAAATATGCCATAAAATCAGCAATTTTCAAAAATTTGCAAAACACATGACAAGAAACAAATAAACTGCCACACATTTTCACATCAATGTCAAATTTCTTTCTGTTATTAATTTATCATTTATTCAATTTATGTTTTGATAAAAAAATTGTTAACTGATCGAAGATATTCAATTTTTTCAATATTTAAAAAAGGATTCAATAAACTGTCCTGCATCATATTGTTAACTTTCACACTGTTACTGCTCAATAATTTAAATTTCAGGGTTAAAAAGATTTTTTTCCTTACATTATTAGATGCACCAACAGTCTAACAGTTTAATTACTTTTTGATACTATTATTTCATCGTTTTAATTAAACTTTTAACTTGAAAAGTTTGTTAAAGTTTTGAAGTTTTAAATATGAATCAAAATTTACTAAAGATGTGCTAAATTACCTTCTACACTTAATTCTCGCAGTAAATATATTGAAGCGCTTTTGACA